AAATATAAATTTTATATATATTTTTAAATTCGTTCCTGGGAAAAAATATTTTTAAATGTATATATTATTTTATTTATCTATATTCCAATAATGGACTTCACTGTGATCAGCCAGAAAGGGGAACAGGATGAGGCCACTGGTGCTGTTCATTGGAATGTTAACTGCCTCAGCTTGTGCTGATCTGTGTGGCCACCTGCACAGATACACGTGCACATGCTGTACATGTGTGTCTGTGTGTGCGAGCCTGGGAATACACTCTCAGCCTCACTACTGGAGCCACAAAGCTGTGGCAGCCCTACTACTGTATTCAGCTCCCACTAACATTTAATTTCTCTGGGCCCAGCCTTACTTGTTTCTCTTCATACCAAAGAATCCTTAAATCTTCAAGTAATCCCACTGAGTAAGTTGCTGAAAACATTCTAATAAAATCACACAGGACACATTTCTGTGCGAGGATGGGCAGCACCATGGCGATCTACTTAAAAATTAAGTACACCAAGCCTTGGGATTTTTCTCTAACGTTTTTCTATCTTTTCTTATTGCAACCTTTCTTCCACCAGTCTAAGGGGAAAGAAGGTAGAGGTAGATTTAAATTTGCCTCAGAAATATCGACTTAGATCGCAGTCATACTAATGGTTTTAGGAAGTAATTCTCTACTTCCAGCATTCCTCGTAGAATAGTTTGGATGGAAGGGACCTTTAAAGGTCGTCTAGTCCACACCCCTGCAGTGAGCAGAGACATCTTCAACTAGATCAGGTTCCTCAGAGCCCCATCCAACCTGACCTGGAATGTTTCCAGGGATGGGGCACCTGCCACCTCTCTGGGCAACCTGTGCCAGTGTTTCACCACTCTCACTGTGAAAAATTTCCTCCTTATATCTAGTCAAAATCTGCCCTCTTTTAGTTTAAAACCATTCCCCCTTGTCCTATTGCAGGGGAGGCAGGACTTGCCCTTGGTGAAGCCATGCTGGCTGTCTCAAATGACCTCCCTGTCCTCCAGGTGCCTTAAGGACTCATGCAAGACCTTATTTTATTTTACTTTATGTTATTTAACAGTACTGTATAACCCTGGAGTTAGACAGTAAGAGATGCATCAAGGCAAGCTCTCAGTCAGAGCATGCTCCTTCGGGGCTGGCGCAGAGGGTGTCCGTGTCACTCTGCCCACTAGTCCTGACCTGTAGGCAGACCCAGGTTCCTCCCATAACAGATCTGGGTGGTAGCATCAGTGGGTTTCTTTTACGAACTCTCCAGAGCCCATAAGCTGCAGTGTTTTCACAGGCAACATGGCACGTTCTTCACGACACCACCAGCCATCCCAACCAGAATTTAGTCATCCAGTGCTTGCCTTCGGCCTCCCGACACACGAGAAATGAGATGAGGCATCCTGAGAAGCCTGACATACCACAGCTGCCAAGGCAGGCTGCGATCTCTCGCATTAGTGGCAGATGACAGCTCACTTATTTGAACACAGACAAAGAGAAGTCTGCCACGGAGCAGCTCCTGCAGGACTGGAGGGAGGAAACAGCTGTCAACTATTTCTTGGATTACAGGGATAAACATATTTCCAGAGACAACTTTAGTCTATGTAACTCTAAAATCCCGAATACAATTCAAGATATTCTTGTACCAGGAGAGGGGTGAAACTAGAAGGCTTTTACAGTTGAAAGCTTAAATCTCTGAAACAAGAAATGCATCTTCTGGCATTACTACAGAACTGAGTAAGAGCCAAAATAAACACTAGCATCACTCTTTTTTTTAGAGAGAATACAGAGTATGCTGGAGGTTTATTGAGTTTTGCTTTATCTGGGAAAGAGACCGGAAGACACTGCCTGCCTTTGTTAAGCCCTTGAATGGATGCCTTAATACGAATTTCAGCCTCATTGAGCAGGGTACAAATTAACTATCCAAAGGGAACTATATTAGAAAAAGAGGAAGAACGAACCAGTTCCACAGAGACGAAGACTAAGCCCAGATGAGAGAATAACTTTCTTTGAAGAACCAGTTTTCTCATTCTGGTACTTTGAATGACCCTGCTACATAGGAAATGTAGAAATCTTTTACAGAACAAAAGAGGATGTAGCTTAATTTTCTCAGCAAGACATTCAATTCTGTGAATAAAAAAATAGCAACAAAATTGCTCAAAACTGGCCAGTTACGTATGGAAACAGTGCATTGAAGAAAACAAAAGGGATCCAAAAAAACCCCAGGCATTATATAATTTATGGAAGGATTCATACGTTTTGTTTCCAGCTCTCTAAGTGGGAATTCTGTGACTTTAACCTTTGGGGGAAGGAGCATAGGTCATTAACACAAGCAAGAAGGAAGAAGTAAGCTCAGTCAGTGAGTCATAGACGCTATGCAAACTTTGCCATACATCTGTGTTTTCCCATGCTGCTCTGAACCCTTGCCTCAGACTCTTGCAATGGACAGAATGCCAAATATGAGTAGATCAAATTCTATTTTTCCACCCCGTGTTTCTTTTTCAACCTGAAAAAAGTACCCACAAGGGACTAGAGCTGGCACTTGCAGAGGAACCAAGCAGTGTCCCTGGGTCTAAAACTCACATACTAAAATTTCCATGTCTTTCAACCAGGGCCTGCATTCTGCAGAAATGAGCTTCTGTCAGGCTGCGCTGGAAATTCCGGGGGCAGATGGGAATAAAGCAAGCAAGTGGTCACTTTTAATACATCCCACCTGCTGTCTCAGCAGGCTAAGGCATGAGCCCTGCCTGCTGGAGGAGGCAGGAGGGAAGAGCCTGCTGAAAATCGCTCTGCC